TTCACTTGGCCAACAGTACGAAATAAAGCTGTACAGAGAAGCCACTGAGTTAGGACTAGGATTTAGAGATGAGGAACATCTGAGAAAACATGGTTATGATAAAACCCCCGATTGTAAATTAGAAGTTCCCGTTTCTATAAACGGATTTATTATAAATTGGATAGAAAGTAAAGCATTATTTGGAGAGGCAGAAGCTCATAGGGATTACATGAGGCATCAATATATGAGTTATTGGAACAGGTATGAATTAATTATTATTTTGATAAGGTTCATATAACTTTTGTATAAAAAAACTTACAAATCTACTGTAAATAACGTGTCATCTAAATATGTACCTATATTTAAATTAATAGCTGCTCATCGCACATAAATGAAGATACTTTGATTTTAGTGGATTGCTCAATTATATTCTACATACTATTCTGTTCCCGTTTCTTGACCCTAGTAGAATGTTTTATAAAACAAATAAAACTTCTTTGGTATGATTGGTCGATTATTTTTATTAAAACAGCTGTAAAAATATGTTTCAGGGGACATTAACTGCACCAAAAGATGGGAAAATTGTTTCCCGCAACATATTATTTATTTATTTATTCAAATAGGTACACTACAGAATTATTATTCTAAATGGTACACAGAGTAAAAAAAATAACAATTAATACATGTATGCAGAATACCTACACAAAAATATGACATTCACAAAATCACATACATAGTAAGAGGTTTAAATATTAAAGCTAAAAAAAAAAACAAGAAAAAAAAATTATTTTGACAGTTTCAAATTACTCTTTGGCGCATACGACGTTGTGTTAAATAGGTCACAGTCAGAGTAAAGCTTATTGTAAATGTGGCACATACGGTCAATAAATGCTCTTTGTCCATAGTTGATTCTGTCTTCTGATGAAAAACAAAGAAGTGTGACGTGTACGTCGAGTAGGTGCCAAAAAGCTAATTACGTGTAAAAGGGCGCTACAGTCAATTTTACCGTTAATTAATTTAAACAGAAACAGAACTAGTGCATGTCTTCTGATTTCTAGGCTTTACATACCACAACAGCAGTGCTGTATTAATAAAAGTAATCGACTGATCATACCAAAGAAGTTTTATTTGTTTAATAAAAAATTAATATTCAATATATTTCATAATTTTTATTATTTTTACAATGAATTATCGTAAATGTTTACTTTCTACACCTACATATTTATCTATTCTTTATAATTCCAATATTTACCCGTCCTATTTCTGAACTTTAAACCATTTTTTGAACACTTGAGATATGGTTATTGCGAAATCGATTCGAACCGGCAAATTTTTGTGATAAACCGCTTTTTTTTTTTTCATTGAGCTAAGTTTTTAATTACCCCCTATTTCGCGATTTCAAGGGAAGTTTTATCCCCAGGATTTCAAGAAGACAATTGCCCTTTCATCCATTTCCGGTAAGTTTTAAGTAAACCTTAAATTTGTTCTGAAAGTTTTTTATTCAGGAACAAATAATTTAATCAACTTAAGAGGTGGAATATTTATAAACTCAATGTCCCTTATCAAGTACAGAACTACATTGGAAAAAATAATTATATAGTTATGGATAGACAATATTCATATATTTTTGGTAATATCAATAATGTATTATAACCTATTTAATAGAACTTGTTCTGCTTTCCATACATTATAAATTGTAAATATTTTGTAGGAAATAAATATTATTAAAAGAAAAAATAATTTTGAAGTCGTTATTGATGTTTATTGATTGATTTAATTTAAATATTTTATTTTAGGTTTGGATCTGGTTTAGTGATTTATTGGTTTGGATATCTTGAGACGATAGTTGAACCAAATGATAAAAAAATTATGATCAGCGATCATTTACCTAAAAATATTGTTAGTTTACCACAACCAAGTTTTGATTTGTTACTTTGATGTTTAAAACGTTAAGTTAAGGCACTTATATAATTGATAATTTGTATTGTAGATGGTTTATTTATTATATCTTAATCTAAGTTATTTTAACTTTCAGAAATAAATTCCCTAATACCTTGTAGTAGTATTTTGTATTTTCTTCTGCATTTTCTTTGACTTTCCATATTTCTCATTATTTCTTTTATCACATATTTGTCTTTTGTGTTGTAAATAAGATACATATAGCTTTTAAGTATAAATACCTATTGTGATATTTATTTAAGAGAAAATAACTGTTAAAGAATGTTCTTATTGTTAATGTTTGTAATGTATGCCCGTTATAAAAACATAAAGATTGAAAATACAATAATTTTTTTTTTTTTATAATTAAATAATACAATATTTTTGGTGTTTTATTTTTAACACCCTTTGACGTTTAACTACTTCACTAAATATATAGTCAGTGCGTAATCTGGCTGTAAGATTTAAGAACGGAATATAAAGAACATACTTGTGTTTGGCGAGTTTTGACTAACACAGGTGTATCACATAGGTGTCGCGCCGGAGTCGAAACATTTTTGGGTGCGACGACCAAATTTTGACCCAAAAGTAGTTAAAAAAACACGGGTAAATTTTTTTAGATAACACGCGTATTCACCATTTTTATAAAATAATAAATAACATAAAAACTTACCAAAATTTATATTGAGTGCAATTAATTACTAAAACTGTACAGTAAAATGAAGATTTTACACTGAACGATACTTGAAATCTAGTCTTCATTGTGTTTTACTAGCGAAAAGGTAAATAACTCGTTTACTAAAGTCTCCAATGTTGTTGAGACCACTTTTTCAGCTAATAACATTTCTATTAGACTGGGCCAAAAAAATAAAACAATTTTTTTTCTTAGCGGAACTATGAAAATATTGTTCATGACGACAAAAAAAATTTTTCCTGAAAGTTTGAGCCCTTAATAATAATATTAAGAGGTGCATCATTGCAGTTATTGATTTTTCAACAGTTGTCGCGTTTTTGCATAAATTTCGGACTTGGTCAATTTTGAAATTTTTTTTATCTCTTATCCTTGTAGGAAATTAAATTCCCCACAAAAAAGCTCTCTTAGTAAATTTTTGTAAGACGAGTCTATTCTTTGTAATCTTAATATTTAAGTTCATTTTGGAAATCCCAAATGCAAAGTGAAAAATTGAAAATATATACCAATGTTTAAGGCTCGGTATCTTAGTAAGAATTTTTCAAGTGGCTCCTTGGTCCAAGTTGCCTAGCGCTTGAATGCCCAGAAAGACAATGGACGTGTCGTGAGTTCGATACCTGCTCTGGTCAAGTGATTTTTAATAAAAAAAAAAAAAAAAAATACTAATAATAATTGGTTCATACCGGGTTGCGAAAATAATAAATAAATTATAAATAAAATATAAATTATAAAATAATAAATTATTAATATTATAAAATAGTGTGTGGTGAGTTGCGGTTGTGTAAAAAAAGTAGGACGTTTTTTGAATGTCCAGTATTGAACGTCCAAATATAATTCAGAATTGGACGTCCTATGAACGGTTAAGTGTGCAATTTGTATACTTCACTGGACGTCCATTGGACGTCGGAAGTCCAGAAAAAACTCATCTTTGGACGTCCAGACATCCAAAATTGTATATCGAATGGACCTATTTGTGCTGTCTGGGGCATGCGTCGTCCTGTCGTCCACATAGAATCGCCCTCAAATAAAACACACGAAACAATACAATGCATTTTTTTTATCACCTCAATGTCACCTCACAAATCCAGTTATTTTTAGGGTTCTGTACCCGAAGGGTAAACGGGACCCTTATTACTAAGCCTCTGCCGTCCCTCTGTCAGCGAGCTATATCTCATGATCCGTAATGCCTATAGGTAGACAGTTGAGATTTTCACAAAATATGTATTTCTGTTGCCGCTATAACAACAAAACGACTGCAAAAAACTGTTTTGTCTGATATGTTAGGTTCTTTCGTTCGTCCCACTGGTGTAGGAATGAACTACACCAACGGACACTAAACTTTTCGTTTGGCTCGGTGTACTACCTACACACTATATACCTTCCTATCGGCGATGAGGTGTCCACTGGTGGATTTTTTCTCCACCAGCTATTTAGCAGGAGTGAATTACACTCGACATGTGTATAAGGAATAAGGAGGAAGTAAATTAGGGTAAATAAGGTGGTTAACTGGTGGACACTGCACCAACAGTGAACGAAAAAACCTTATAATACGATCTTTGCTTTTTAAATATAATTGTATTGTTTTAAAAAATAAAGTACCTAGTTTATTTTCGATATTCTTACAGTTAGTTACCCGAAAGGACCATACTGTTTCGATAGCAAATTAATTTTCAAAGAAAAAGATCGTCCTCGTTTCGTTGTAGCTCTCAAACTATAAATCCGAAATTCCAATAAAGTATGTGGCCGTAAGGCACAAACAAATAGGATTAAAGCAACGATTTCGTCGTTTCGAGTCAAGCATAAACAATTCCAGAACGCAGTAATATCGCTCTTTGTGGTTTTACCCCCTACGAGCTCGATTTTGCTCGAATCTCTTGTCTCTAGCTTTGGCTTCTTTGCTTTTGCCTCGCCTCCGCCTGCTAGTGCTGCTTTCGTCAATATTTGGATTCAAACCGCGCGCGTGTGTATAGTCGCGATTCTACTGAACTTACAATTTTATAGTCGGCGGCCAAATATACATTTTTCAAAAGTGAGTGGTATTAAAAAAATACATTATTCCTAAACTAAAAATTTATAATTTGCCAGTTATTATATGCTATAAGGTAAAAAAAAACGCTCTATTTATTGCGCTTCGAAATTCAACCGCAAAGTTGACGTTTTCTGCGAACTGACATTAAGTGACAGCTTTGTCGATCGCCGAGCGGAAACATTGACAGCTTTGTCGCACGCCTAATTTAAATTAGATATATAATAATTTCTTTTTAATAAATGATTTTGAAGTTATTTGTACCTACCTAGTTTGATGTTTTATCTTTTATTATCCAAGTTAACATTGACTTTGAATATCAACTCCTTTTTTCATGAATAACGTAGATATAGGCAACACATTATACACTACTTATGACAAATTTTCAGTTTTATATCTATTTCTTAAAATAATGTGATCGTAAAAAAAATCTTGTGTGCATTTTGAGCGATAAGTTCGTTGCCGCTTTGGACAACTTGCCGCGCTCCGCTACGCGTCACGCGGCAACTTTTTGTCTCAAGCGGCAAAGTATCGTTCTTAATACACAAATCGTTGCACTTATTATGTTTGTCTTACTTTTTTGTTTTAAATAAAACAACCAATGTTTATGGATTTCCAAGTTAGGTATGCAGACTTTATAAATAACAACTCATGTTTTTAACGAGATATTCTGCTATTATACTCGGGATTCAGTGATTTCTCTCTACTTTTCTCATGGGTTTGCACTTGAACTGGTGTATAGATTTCCAGGCACATCTATCCTGTTGAAAAGAATGAACTGCTTGATTTTGTTTTCAATATAGGCATATCATGTACCTAGCTATAGATTCAATTTTTATAAAATTACAGGTATTATATATTCTTCTTTAGACAATTCTGTATTTACTTTTGCTTCTAAAATTCCTAGAATGTCATCAGGTACAAAGGAAACCTAAAATATAATATTTTTAAAATGTATTTTTAGTTCGATTAAGTATATTATTACCCAGAAGTTAGTTTTGTGTATCTCTTTTATAAGTATTTGGTGTAAAATGTAACGACATTCGGTTAAATGTTTATCTTCTCGTGTACAACGATTTATCTGCCATTGTTTGTTTTTATTGTAGTTAAACCATTTTGTATAGGGTACCTAATGAATGAAATATTAAATTTACCACAGGCATTATAATCTGAAACAAAGACAAATGGACTAGAAAATAGTTTTTTTTATTTTAGAGAGGACCCTTACTAAATCTACTCAAATGTATAAATATTTATAAAATAAATTCTTCATTTTAAAAACAACCACAAAAAATATGACAAATGACAAGAAAAAGTGACAATTAACATAAACGTTCCGAATTCAGATTATGTTCACAGTACTTCTCTTGAATACTTTTTTAGCAAATTACTTTATTACGTTGTGTTAACATAACAAGTAGGTTAAATAGGTAAGTAACAAATAGAAGAACAACTTCTCATGAGCGTTGCATTTACGTTGTTTAGTAATGTTATTACGTTCTCTTAAAGCAACATCGCCGAAAGGTTTGGCAACTTTATGTTACGTTTGTTTAATTTATTTATAGTTTATTTATTTAAAACACACTATTTACAATTTATTTATGACGTACTAATTAATTTATATAATACTTATGCACTATTTTAATTTATTTATTACAATTTATCTTTTCTGTCAAACATTTAAAATCAACCTTCCCGTCCGTCGACTGCTCTCGCTATTTATATAAAGCCCAACTCTGTGGGAGAATACTCTAGGCTTTCCACAACAATCGAGAACTGCCTCTCTATGACTCATACGCCGCAAAGGGATCATTCCGGTAGTTTCTCGAAGCGTCAGCGGCTTACCTAGAAAATTCCGGGGTTTCGGCCATGAGTCGGATGGCGGACTTCAAGGTCGCGCTCTACAGAGACAGCTTAGGCATTCCCATGACAGTTATGTGCTAGCTGGGTAGCATCGTCATAGCATCTCTTTATTCTCAGTACCTTCAAGAATAGGTTAAATAATGTCAAAATAAAAAATTACCATTAAATAATAACGTGAAATCAGAATGATACTTGGTACATTTGCGATTGTTATTTTTAATTTCTTCACTTTTAGTTCGAAAGAAAACAGACTTAATGATTAAAACTGGTTTCCTAATAATACGTCATAAAACTGGTTTCCTAATAATACGTCATAAAATTGCATTCCAGCCACACATCATAATCAAAGGCAGAAATCTAGTCCTTGTTGAACATTTATGAGTTAAGGGATGTTGAAGAACATCATAAAATTCTTTAATTAAAACCTTTCTACTTTCCGACATCTACTATTTTCAGTACCTAATACTGGTATTATTACAAAAGTAAAGGTACTTTTTTCTTCTTATTGTAGGTACAGCTATTCATTTATTTTTGATTTGATTTGTTTTAATTTCCATTTTGCTGCTGAAAATTTATATAATTTATACTGTTTTTAATTACTAGTATTTTTACAATTTACAACACAACAACTCAGGTTGTTCATTGTATTTTTTTAACTATTTTTTTTAAATTGTATTTGATACGCTAAAATTACAAAATATCGCTCTAAAGTGCTCGAATTATCCTTAGCTT